ACTTCTGTGGGTGTTACTGTTTGTTGTAATAAAAGGTAATTTTTCTTTTCTTTCCAAAGGACTCAGAGGAACTCTTTGGAAGAAGGAGCATTACCACGTGCCTTCCTGTGCACATATGTGGCTGATCTCCCTCCCAGAGGCAGTGGAGGCAAAAGGTGGGCATTATTTGTGCTACACAAACACATTTTACAGATCTTACTGCCACAGTTAGGGTCTGGGGTTATTTCTACATATTTCCAGTGGTAAAATAAATCCAGTGCTTCAGTGCACCATGTTTCCAGAGCCAGCAATTGTGCAGAGATTTGAAAGCAACAATACATATTCAGTTTCTGAAAGAAGGTGGTAAAAGAAGATTGTTTCAAAGCTAGGTATTTTATCAAAACAATACACCTTCTCCCACCTCCTCCCATCCTTTCATTTAGTTAAAGACAGGCATCATGCCTAACCTCAGCCATGGTTTCCTGTCCCTTCTCTGCAGCAGTGCCTTCTCCCCTTACCAAACTGGATGGAAAGGTGTTCCACTTTAACAGAGTACTCTTCTAAGGAAGAAATACCAATAAATCACTTCATACAAAGATAATGCATGGAAATGCTTTATGCCACGTTTCCAGGCTCTCAAGGTCTTGACTGTTTTTTTGTTACACTTATTTTCACTAGGAAAATTATCCAGAAGTTCATGCCAATGTTTCCGTAATCCCCAATTAATCAGTTGATCAGGTTTTTTTCTCCACGTTTCACTGTCTGGCACATCTTGACAGGTGGCAGAAAAGCCATTTTCTGGCTCAGAGGATGAACATCTAATTGTTTTATGTGAGTGGGAAAAACTTCAAAAACAAAACCTGCGAGTCCCTCATCTGAAAATGCATGACAGACTCACTGACAAATGGGGTCAACATCCCTGCAGACAAATCAGGAAACCGAATGGAATGCATTCTATGTCATTTTTGGGTGTTCAATTCTTTTTAAAAATATATGGCTGTTGGGTAAAAGGGAACAATCTGCAGCTGGTTTTCTAAAACTACAAGACACATTTTTCAGTTTTCCCAGAAAAATCAAAAAATCACTTGCTGGCACAGCAACTGTTGTAAAGGTACAATGGGTGAATGGGGAGTTCAAGAAAATAGCTACTAATAAGTAGAACCTTCTTTTTTTTTCTGTTTAAACCAGATTTTAGACCATCTTTCCTTAAAGAGATTGATTCTGCAGGCACAGTTGAACATGAGTGTTCAGTCCATCAAGAGGCAGCCACACAGGTTTAACTGAGAAAGTGGGAATAAATCTTAGTTTTCCTTTTTTCTTAAATATTAACAAAGGCAAAGTTGAAGAAGGAAGACATTTCACATGTATCTAAACCTGTCTATCATTATCCAAATTTCCAAAAAACTACACATTTACCCATTCTGTAAAGGCCTTACAAATCAATGCATTTGCTCATGATGCATAACCTGAACTGCACAAATGCTCTCTGCAGATCCTGAAAATGTTCTTTTACTTTTTTCTTTGATTTGTTTTCTCAGCTGCAATTCCCTCAGTTTTTTTCTTTTTACTTTTTGCTGGATGACAATTCCTTGTTCGTATCCTATTCTCTGAAACAATTCTTTGAAATGTATCCTCTATTTCAGGTCCAGCAAATATCTTAACTTGTGTAAAATTAACCAAATAGGCACAATGAAGCGACTGTCTGGGGCAGCATGGCTCCCTTATCTATAGAACAATAAATAATTTTCTTTCAGATCACACATTGACTGTATCGAGCATAAGGGCCCCTTTTATTTTTAGAAAGTGAAAGGTTTCTGATGCTGTCTTTTGACAAAAAATGATGAAGTACCAAACCACACATGCCTGAACATACCTGTTGCTAGCATTACTGTTTCAGCCCTCAAAAATATCTGCAAGCTGAAAAGCCAAGTTCAGAAAAATGAAACCAATGAACACCCTCCACAGTTTACAGTGACAGCTGATCCTCACTGTACAGGAGCAGATGGGCATCTTGCATATGCTATCAGAAAATGGTTTACACAACATCTAAGCTATCAATAAGGTATTACATGTTTTAACAAGAGAGAAAATATTGTACATTTAAAGGCAATTTTATGCTATAAATTGTTAAAGCAGTATTTTTATAAATACAATTCCTCATGTTATTTATCCCGTCTTTAGATGAGATAATTTTTCCAAGTACCAATAACTCACTGAACATAAACTAAATTTGTCCTAGGTTAAGATTTGTACCTATGGAATCATTACAAATTGTTTTTGTAGCATAACTACAGGAGGAATTAAGATACTGAGGATTAGTTGACAATTGTCCCTGTTTAACCAATACAAATTAATGGCAAAACTTCTACAAAAGGCTAGAAGTATTAAAAATATGCTTTAGAATAAAGAATATATCTTAATTTTCCTGGGGAAAACCCCTTTTACTACCAGAAAGGTGGAAAAGTTATTCTTGAACTTCAGTCTGGTCTCATTAAACCATCAGAGTGCTATGAAAGGACACTTAAATGTGAAATTTTCCTGTTAAAATGGTGTCATAAAATATCACTGAGAAGGTGACAATAAGAAATAGCTGTTCATTCCAGAAAAATCTGTATTGATAAGGTAAAATTTTACAAGATCACCAAAATGTTGAAAAAGAGGAAGAGGATCAGTTGCTCTGTTTCTGCAGGACCTAGAGGGTATCACACAAAATCTAACAAATTATGTATGCATGAAATGTGGTAGGTATATAGTTTTCTTTAGTAGGTAGGTATATTCTTTAAAAGAGGAAGAGGATCAGTTGCTCTGTTTCTGCAGGACCTAGAGTGTATCACACAAAAACTAACAAATTATGTATGCATTAAATGTGGTAGGTATATAGTTTTCTTTGCCAAAGAATACAAAAATTCTGCTGTTTCAGACAGAGATTTAACAAATCCATGGGAGACTATGAAAGTGTTAGAAGCTATGCCTCAGAAAGACCCTAAGCTGGAAAAAAAATTGCATTGGTTCTCAAAAAATGTCTCAACCATTTGCCCTGTGCTCTGGACACTTCCCTACAACCACTGCAATGGAGAAAAAGAAAAGTACCAACTATTCATTTTGATCTTTGTGTAGTAATTAAGGACTCACTACCCCTGGCAGCCTGATCTACTACCTAGAACCAAAAAGCTTTTCCTTACAGTCTCTCTGCATCTTGTTTCTACACTTTCATTCTTCCTCTCAAGCTCCTCACCAACAGGAGACTGGCTCTGCCATTGCAATACCCTTCTCACAGGCAGTGGCACTGCTCTTTGGTCCCCAAATCTGTCTCTTCTCAAGCTGGACAAGTCCAGTTCACCCAGTCCCTTCTCACAGGTCTCCTGACACTGACATGTCCAATGGACTTGTCACAGGCTGTTGATGTCTTCCCTGTACAAGCAAAGGGGGACAAAATTTGACACAGTAATTGTGCTCAATTGTTGAGTTGTGCCTTGTGATACGAAGAGCAACGGATGCAAAGTGGACTTCTTGGTAATAATTTGTTTTTTCAGAAAAAAAAATCTATATGCTCTCTTCTTATTCAATCATCTCAAAACATTGCTAATAATGGAAATTGCCCAGCTAAAAGGAAGTAAAGTAGTTCAGATCTCATAAGCTCCTCTAAGGAGAACAGAGAAGTTTCATTGAAGATAAATCAGCGTCCATCAAAGTCAGCTAAAATATTCCTATTGATTTGCAGAGATATCAGAATATGATTGTTCACAGCTTCTTCTCAAAAGCTGAAGAGTCAATTACAGTTATTTTAATTAAAAGCAATTCAATGTTAAGTGCTACCCAGATATTCCCATTATTGTCAGATATGACAAATGTTTGAACACACAGAGGAAAGGTGGAGAGGCCAACTAGGTAGCTGCTGGTACACTATTAATGTTCTTTGGCTTTAACAGCACTGAGCACAGGGGAAGAAAAAAACACAACAGAAGCTTTAATTTTAATGAATTTCTGTAGAAAGCAAGCAAGAACTTTCTAACAATAGTTGTTTGTCCTGAATGTATCTTCAGACACTTTGTTCCAAAGAGATTGTGCAGTGCAGGACAAATCATGAATAACATCAGTAAAGAGAAAGAATCTAAATGAAAAACTCTAGAACCCATTTTGAAGAATGGTGAGGTGAAGAAGAAAAGCAGAGGGTTAATCTTAATATGCTGGAAATATAACATGTAAGAACACATTGATTTGCAAGTTCTAAAAATTGGTGGAACATATCTGTAATAGGGAAAAAACTTCAGTTTATTTCAACCAAGATTTTAAAAAGCTCTAATGGTAGATACTGCAAGTAGCTGCACTGAAACCCTCTGAGCCACATAAAACACCAGAAGGGAAGTTTTAAAGAAGTTTCAATCAACATTTAACATTCCTAAGGTATTTAAAATTCAAGAAAAGTTATATTCCACAGAATTCTTTAACACCCACCCCCAAGATCTCAGTCTAAGAAACATATGTCAGCAGTACAGTGGACTTAGCTGAACCTGATATTTGTCCTTACAGAAGGACAAAGGGATTGCTATTTTTTTTCAGTATTTTCACAATATTTTGCACAGAAATTAGTGACAAACTCTTTTCCTAGAAACAAGGATAAAAGAAATATCTTGGTCTTCTCCCCATTTTTCTCTAAAGCAACATATTTTTTTCTCAGCTTTTCAAAAGAGGATTGATGGAATTACAGCAGTATTTCATTAGAGTCACATCAAACATCAGCAACTCTTCCCCAAATAAACCACAATCAATCAATTAGACCACTTCAGTGGTGAAGATGTATAAACAGCTGATTAATGTTTAATGTCAAACTCCTTACAAAGAAAAAGAGGCAATAAATAGTGCATAAAAAACCCCTCAAAAGCTCAAGGGAACAAAAGTCTTACTTCCTGGTTTACCACCAAGGTGAAGTTCTGTACAACTGATTTGCTAGCATAATGCCAGTGCAAAAATACCTGTCCTCAGATGTACAAAGAAACATGAAAAAATAGATACAGACATACCTGGTCCAATGCAGAACGATGCAATGATTGCAAGGATACAAAATATACTGAGGTAAGGAAGCCAATACACTGTGTTCTGGGTGGATAAAAGACATTAATTTTAGATATATTGTACATATCACAAATAGTTTTGAAAATTTTTCAGATAATAGACAATGTTTTCCATGATTCTTGATCAATTTCAGAATTTAGTCTGGGGTTACTTTAGAAAATCACAGCATTTCTGTGGGACTTTATTAGATGATTTGTTTTAAAGGCCTTGGTCTCTGTGAATTCCCTGTAGAGAAACACTAGACAAGCTATGTACCACAGAGTCAGAACTCTAAAAAATCACAACTTCTTATGGTAGAGCTCAAGCCAGCCTGGAACACTGAACACTTCAGCACCTCCAGCTACCTCAGGTATTTCAGTCATGTTAAAAAGAGCATCTAGGATGGCCCACAGAGCTTCACAGTTCACCAGTCAAAAGCTTGGCTGAAGACTATACACGACAGGCTGATATTTGGTAGGACAACCAGGTATCTGAACCTTGGCAAAACATGGCAAAGCTACAGCCCAGGGCTTTTCAGATGTAACCTGATTTTGCAGACAAGGAAGGCCATATATCCTATCTTTCCTCTACTTCTAAGTAGATTTTTCTCTGCTGAGACCTCTAAATATCAGGAACTTGAAATATGAAGAGAAATTTCTGTGGAGCTTGGAGGTTGGAGAACACTGTTTCATAATCATGTATATGACTGATTCTAATACTAATAGATGAGAAAAACCCATGGATGCCCATTTCTTTCTCTCTCCAACAAGTGGAGTTTTACTGCAGCAAATTGTGAATGATATTTTTATTAGAATTCTGTTATTTTTGGAAAGTTTGTTAAGATACATGTAAGTGTACTATCACCACCTTGAATGGCACTTTAAAAATATCCTTGCTAAAGAAAGTAATTAAGTGTTAAGGAAAGGGCCCCATTTTCTGATGTTTTTTCTCTTCCAGTCTGGGTTATGTCATTAGTTATGTGGAAACCATGGTCTCCTGGACATTAACATTAACCAAAATGCTTGTAGATCTATCAAAATTACACAATCTAGGATTCTTGTCTGGAAGCAAATCTATGGTCTCTGAGAAAGAGAAGGTGCAAATATGGAGCAGACATAAATTTCTCTGACATTAAGCCTATTTGTACCATGATCCTCTTTTCAAAGCAAATCTCTAATACTTTACAGATTGAGACCCTTTGAAAGAAGGTAAAACTGAAAAGCATTCAGAGTGTAGGGATTTAAAGTAGCTGAAGGCCTTCACATCCCCAGTTGCTCTAAAAGATCTGGAAGGGAATTTTCACTTGACATACAAAATATGCAATAACTTCTGTCTTCAGAAGGAGAGCTGTCTTACAGCTGTCCTGGCAGGTGTGTGAAGTAAAGTTTTATTGTCATGTACATACAGGTAAATCAAGTAAAACTGCAGTGACATGGCACAGACCTGCCAGTCAACCTGACCTACTGACTCCCTTCAAACAAGGAACAAGATTTGGAAGTCAGATTAATGGCACCACACAGGAATCAAAACCAGCAGGAAAATACCTTGATGAAACACCACCCAAACCCATGCCATTTCAAATGTCAGTTTTACTTCTCTGAAGTCCTTAGGAACATAAACAAACTGCATTATTACACAGATGGAAGCTAAACAAGAAAAAATATACAGGGCTAGAGTTTGAATTTGTTTAATAAATAAAATATGATAATTTGAAACATCTGGGGAATTGAGTGCTAATAACATCTCATATCTTAGAACCGTATTATTATAGAAACATATTGATTGAAACTTATTACACAGATGGAAGCTAAACAAGAAAAAATATACAGGGCTAGAGTTTGAATTTGTTTAATAAATAAAATATGATAATTTGAAACATCTGGGGAATTGAGTGCTAATAACATATCTTAGAACCGTATCATTATAGAAACATATTGATTGAAAGAAATATTTAAAGCTTGTCTAGTTCCAATCCCTCTGCAATGAGCAGAGACATCTTCAAACAAATCAGTTTGTTTAGGGCCTGTCCAACCTAGCTGTGAATGTTTCCAGAGATGGGGCATCAACCATTTCTCTGGACAACTTGTTCCAACACTTCCCCACCCTCATTGCAAAACACTTCCTCCTTATGTCTAATCTAAATTGACCCTTGTTTAGTTTAAAATTATTATCCCTTGTCCTATCACAAAAACCTCTGCTAAAAAGTCTATTTTTATCTTCTAAGGCCAAATGTTCTCCAAAGGATAAGTCTTTATACTGCCTATATAAATACCAGAAAAGTAACTTGAAAGAAACACCAAAGGTGGAAATTTGTCGCTAAAAAAATTCTAAACCTAAGATATGAATGACACATAAAGCTGAAAGAAATTTCAGAGAGAGTGAATTACAAAACAAAGACACACCCACAGAATACGGGTAAACTGTTTATTCAGCTATGGGTAAAACTGACTTTATAATAGTTCGTCCTATGCATAAGTCTTTGAATTAAGGAGTCTGAACATGAGAATGTGAGAAAGTCCCTACAGCTTTTTTAATGCAAAAGCTTTGAAGATTCATAAATTAGTATAAAAGACCTTTCCTTCCTCATGCCAAACTGATTAAAAGGATTGGCTCATGCAGGAATATTGAGACAAACCAGTATCAAGCAGGTTTAAAATAGGTAAAAGAGAGAGTAAAAATCTCTAGTGACCCAAGTGTTACCTGTAAGGTCAGGGAGACAGTGAGAACTGCAAAGAAGACAATCATCAGCCCAAAACCTCCAATGAGGAGAGGCCGGCGCCCAAGCCGTTCAATAACCAAGCCCTGGAAAACAAAAGGCAGCATTTGACCTTCTTGAGGAAACACTGAAGAACTTGGATCATGAAATCTGTTCTCCTAGTAAATATGAAGATCAAAACTCAACCATGAATTGATTTTACACTGTTCATAAGCTATGACATTCATAATTGTGCTCACAATTATATTTACAAAATTTAACATGCTTCAAAGAACAAGTCAGCATGGTATCCTTATCTGAGAACACTGAAAAATTGTTCATTGTTTGAATGACTTAAAAATATGCACTACATTTCTATGACAATGTTCTTACAATACATAATTTTTAAATGTCTGTATGTTGAAGTGAATTATAGTCTCTTGCTTTTGCATTTTGACTTTTTCCTAATTTCAACATCTCTCTGAATTTAAGCTTAAGACATTTAAAATATGAGATTTAAATATTTTTAGCATAAATTACATCTTAATTAAACTAAAATTTATTTTAAATTTCCTTTTTTCTCAAATATAGAATAAGTATTTAGTTTTTATTTTGGATAATTACTGTAATTAGAATACACAAGCAAAAGAAATGCATGCAGTAGAAAATTTTGCTCAGACAAGTGATATTAACACTGATATTTGTGCAGTTACACATTTTGAATTTATATTTAACATCTGAATATAAATCACAGCAAAATCTGAATACTTATCTGCTAGAGAAAAACACAATGAAAAATTTCTTAAAAAGCTGTAACTTGAAACTCGCTAGTCTGACTCATTAAAATGCGCTAATCCGTATTTTGTCATAACAGCTGATGTACTTTTCATGTTGGTAACTACTAAAATTACTAATTACACTTGGCTTTCTTATAAGAAAAATAAGAGGATTTTATGAAGATTAAAATGTACCACTTCAAATAAGTTAAAGTCAGAATCACAAAACCGTTTGCCATATCATTATTGACTGGTGACTGAATGTCATCTTCTGCACATCCTTTGAGGGAAAAATAAAATGGGCAACTGAAATGAAATCTGGAGTAATACCCATAATTCTGGGAAACAACACACATCACTCCACTGCCAGGATCTATAAGAAATGTGTTAAAACAAAGTACAGAGACACCCACAGATGAAATGCCTTGAGAGGCAAGTGCTTCTCCCTCAGCCTGGAGTTCACCAGTGGATTTTAGGGCAGGCTTGTCTGTCCTAAACTCACGTTGATATTGCACCCTGAGCTGAACTTCCTCACCAGAGATATGCTCCATGGTGCTGTAGATCACTGAAAGCAGCTCTATGGCAAGACTTTTCATTCTTTATTTCTTTAAATGGCGAAATATATTAATTTGGACAATTTGCACTGCTTCTGTAATAGAATTATGGAATTTTAAAAATACTTGCATGGATATTAGTAAGATCTTATGAGGTCCAAAAGTTTCAAAACTGCAATTGCTTAACTGTCAAAACCTCTACAGGATGACAGTTATATCTTATTATGATTAATAAATCCATTTTGCAAACACATATGACCACACAGATATTGAACCAAGAGACAACTTCAATGGCTTTGAGGGATAAAAAATATAAATGTTGCACATGTAATTTGACATGCTGTGCAATTTCTCTTATTTTTTTCAATGCTGAATTGATGGTCATGATCAAGCCATCTTGGTGTTATACAGCTGGGGAGTTTTGTATTAAAACAGGGTCAGGGATGATGCTTCTCTTAGAAGGAAAAGTTCATAGATGCCTCTCATACAAAACATGGGAAAAATGTGATATATTGTTTTCGCTTGTAAAACTCAAAGCAAAACGAATTCCAGTAAGGAAGGACTGTTTGGACTTGGTCTTCCATAACAGCAAGTTTTCCTGGTGAAAGCAATGCTGGTTTTGATGTTATAAACAGACAACAACTTAATTTTAATTTTTTAATTATACAAATCCAAAATTTGTTCACTTGCAAAACCCACTAAGATGCTTATGACTCATAAGAAGTGGAAGATGATTCATCAGTTTCCAAGTATTTATAGTTCTGAATGCTCCACTGCTATGTACTGGTAACTGTTACCTATTGAATATCTATAGCAAATCAAAATATACTGTACAGTAGAATAAATGAAATAACAAGAAATCCAGTGCATGCTCAAGTACAGACAGAAGAACATTAGAACTGTTTTCTGTGATAACACCTGAGTTATGTGCCAGGCAGTGTAGGCTGATACTTGTTTCTGTGTGATCATAAACATGCATTTGTAGAAACCTTTACCCAGCCATGATGGTTATCACAGCTAAAATCACCGAAAATGTGTAAAAAATATTGAAACCAAAATTCACACAACACAAATGTTTCGTGATAAAAAGGCAACTGATATACAAACTACATTAACAGTTCACACAACTTACTTTTGTCTGTCAGGAAATACTTGTGAATAAAGTTAAAGATGTAAATGTCAACCTTTTCACTTGAGTCAGCTGCAGATACCAGGGCTGACATAATGAAAGCAGAGTGCATTAAAATAGATCAGACAAGCTTCCTTGGATAAAATGAATGTGCAAGCAAGTCCTGCAGTCCAAATGGGAGGTTGTTGCATACTATTCCCTACTTATATCCTGCCTCTAAATTATACTAAGCAAACCCTGTCAGGTTTTCTTGATGTCTCAGCTCTGTGAAGAAGTTTGCTCTGTAAGTTAATGTCAAGAATAGCCACACTTTCTCCCTCATGTATAAAGGCCTGAGTAAGACTTTGTGACTAGACTCAGACTTAACATGGCAAGCTAACACTGTGTTATTTCCATTTTAAATATCAGGACTAAAATGGATAACCTCATTTACATGACTCTATGACACAATGTGTAGTGTCTTGTACCCAGGAAAAGGAGAGGAACAGCAGACTGAGCATTATAAATTGGGGGGTTTTTGATTCCTGCTTTGATGGGTATCCATTAGTCTACTGCTTAAATATCAGGACTAAAATGGATAACCTCATTTACATGACTCTATGACACAATGTGTAGTGTCTTGTACCCAGGAAAAGGAGAGGAACAGCAGACTGAGCATTATAAATTGGGGGGTTTTTGATTCCTGCTTTGATGTGTATCCATTAGTCTACTGCATGAATTATTTGTTTAAAAAAAAAAAAAGCGGCTATTGTATTTAAGTGCCTAAACTGGAATTTAGAAACCTAGCATCAACTTTGAGGACAAAAGCACCATCCTTAAATAAATGTCTGTCTGCAAGGTTCTCACATCAATTTGCCTGCATCTGTATTAAAGCCACAACAGGATCTTATACAACTTCTGCAGGTACCTGTCTAAAGGTTACTCTCAGTAAAGCATGGAATTGATTGCTACATTTCTAAGCTCAGCCTGAAGTTTTTGCAGTAAGGCATCCTTAATCAGCTTCACTTGGCAGTGAAATTTTCTGTTCACTAAAGATGCTCTTTAAAGATACTTCATACCTGCCAAGACCAGCACAGCCAGGACATAGACCATGCAAGGACTTATCTTAGCCAGTCACTTTTGCCTCAGCAGCTCTTGGCAACAGCCCCTAGGGCAGCACAAAAACACTCATTTCCTTATTCCTATTTTGTCCCTTCAGTAAACTGTAGATATTTCTGAAGCAAAGCTCCTTCTAGTGATGATTCAGTTGTTAAAAGTGTTAAGTTATCAAGTTTATGCTATAAAAGCCAGACTAGATCTCAACCCTGATCTGTGACAACTTACTGTGGCTGATGCTTTATTTTCTAATTATGGTGTTTGAATGCCCTGATGCAGATAATCCGGAATAGATTGATAAAAGAATTACTCAAACCCAATGCTTTTAATGCTCAGCAGCAGGAGATACATCTTTAAAACTTTCAATTTCTGAATATATCCTACAAAAGAATTTGTGCTACACAAATGCAGCTTTCAACCATACGCACCTTGGGTTTTAGGAGTAGTGTGGTAAGGCAGACCCTCTTGGTGAAACTTTTTCTTCTGGAAGGCGCTACACATTTACTTCAACACATGCAGCCCTCATCTATTCAAAAGTCCATGTGTATTAAAACAATTAAGAAGGAATAATGTCTTTACGTAAAAACAATCTGTTGATCTCTTGTGGGCTAAGGCAGTGTGCATTAACACAGTCTCTCTCTGCAGTCCACCCTGCAGACAAAATATGTCCAGATGCCTCTGGCCTTTGACAAGCACCATGATCTGAGATGCTGCTTGCCCAATCTCTTTGCTACTGCTCTCTCTATCTGGGCTGCTACAGACCAAGATATCACCTTCAAATTCTGGTAATCCTTGAGCAACAACTTGTCAGGGTGAGGGGGAAAAATGCCATGTTTGCCCTATTCATGACCTCTCTACTTACATCCAGCTGGAAATTATGGATATGTGAAGGCTGATTCTGACTGTCACATGAGACTGCATTACAAGTCTTACTAAAAGTCAGATTCTAGCAGAATTTCCTAGGAACCCTTGAGATTCTAGCATTTGTCACCTCTTTTTTTTTTTTTTTCACTTGCTAAGACTGGCTCTTACTGGAACACATTTCTTTCTCTTCTGACCCAGAGTTTCAAAGGAGATATCTTGCATCATCCTGTGGAAACCATGAAACCATGAAGGAAATGTGATGGAGATTAAAACACCTATGGAAGTATCTGGAATACCCTTTATTTAAGATGTGCCATGCCCTGAGCAGGGAATATTTCCTTCTATATTGAGAGCTATTAACAGTAAAAGAAACAAAGAACCAGTCTAAGAGCCACTTCTCATGACATCTTAAAGCAGATTAAAATCATCTTGCTAAAGAAGGCTGGCTTCCCTGACTTCTGTGTGATACTGCAAAGGATTTCCTACATTCTTTTGTGGTCTAGAACTGCAATGTATTTTAACTCATTCCAGGCTTCACACAGCTTGTCTCTGTCACAGGCTTTTAGTAACACCTTCATGCATCATCCTATGGGAAATACTTAGGGCACAGTCTTCTCAATATAGTCACATCTAGACTCTTTCTGTGAACACTATAAGAAAACCAAATTTGGTGCCACAGATGGCAAAATTGGATGTGGGATGCTTCATTTGAATAACATTCTCTTTTATTCGATGCTGGCTTCATGGAGGAGGGAAGGAATCTTTTCAGACATTTCCTTCTGTCTCCCCTTCTATTCACCCTGCTGTTGTGTAAAGAAAGGCACTGCAAAATTGTTCTCTTTCCCCACTGAGAGTAAGACAACAACTAAAATTAACCTGAATTACTAAAACTTAGAAAACAGCAACAGTAATCAATCTTACTGAAGAATAACAAAGTTTGTGGTATGCCCTCACTTTAGAAGTTATAGAACAGACTTCAAATAAACACAGGGAATTATTTAGGTACATTCCACCCTGCTTCAAAGAATTGCATCAGGTTACATAACTTCTGTAACATGTCTATGAGTAGTAAATCTATTCAGTATTTCATTCCAGAGGATACAAAACTTCAGAAACAAACTGAAATTAATGGGCACCCCACTAAAAAGTAATTGTCTAGCCAGTCCTCTAAATCAAATCTGTGTTAAACACAATGGCTGTAATTCTCTATCATTAACCAAAAAATATACAAAAAAATTATATTGTCTCCCTAGAGAGAAGCTAGGGCATCAGGTAAGCAATGCTATACATACTTAATGAAGTAAATTAGGAAGAATTGGTGTCAGCAGAAGTTGCAGCCAAATTATGTGAATGAAAGGAAAATTATGATGCATGTTTCATCTTTCAATGTCTTGTTTATATAGCTTTTGCTGGAAAGAAAGAGGGATGGAGCTGTAGGCAAAGCATGCTACAAGTGGGCATATCAAGGGATCTGAGGCAATGCAGAGCTATGAAAAGGATGGAATATTAATTATCTTTCCTCATGAACCACATCAACATTATTACTGTTGTGCTGCTGCTTCCAAGAGATGTATTAAAAGGAGACTTTCAAAAATTTTCACAGTTTCAGTATTTTATCTCCTGAACATTACCTTGCTTCTCCATGAAATACATCTCTATTTCACTGTTTTCCTTTGGCATTCATAAAGGTTTCATTGACTGAGGTCATCAATGCTCAAGTATTTTTACTGAGGCTCAATCCCATGATCGCCTAATTTATGTATAATGACCACAGATGGTACAGGATTTCTAGTGGACATTTCCAATTGGTATTTCATTTAAGAGGACATAAACTACACATTTATAACTGTTTACCTTTACTGAAATCCTAGAGTTTATTGTTAGTAAAATCTGGTTTCTTCTAGCAAACACAACATATTAAAAAATACCAGGAAAATTGAGTTCTCTTCTTGCTTTCTTCTGTTTCTTCCCTGAGTAGGAAAGGCAGGGCACCTGGCTTACCATTTAAAGCTGTGAGAGAGATTTTTTTTAAATGTCAAAAGGAGACATTGGGAGAGGTTGGGAGTGGGAGGAATCCCCTGTCCTCAGCACTAGGCATGAAAACTCAATGGGAATTTACTAAAATAAAGAAGCTGCAAAATCTTCAATGGAAAAACTAAATTCATGCTGTTGTTCCTTTAAACAACAGAAATGAAACATTTAAGAAGATTAAGGAAATAAAATTAAGGCTAAAAAGGAGTGTGCCCTGAACTGAGAATTTGGAAGGGAAGAGGTGTATTGGTACATCAGCATTTCCAGAGGCACAGCAGGCAGCATTAACAGAAAAATTACTTTAAAAACCCTTCTCTTGAGTACTGAAAGTTAAAACACATACCAGGAGCCAAAGCACACCCATCCACCTCATTATGTATGAAGAATGTGCTCTGAAGAAGCCCCACAAACTGACAGCACAGAAGGAATTGAAAAATAACAGACCCTATTTATAGAATGGCTTTAATATCATGGATTCCTCTCCATGTAATTATCACCTGTTTCCACATAAAAGAGGTGTATTCTTCACTTAAATCAGTGGTAGAATGATCATTATTATATTTCCATATATCTTAAACAAAGAACCATGTGTGCAGTATCACAAAGAAACCGTAAGAGGTAGACACTTTCATATTTCTCTATTTCTATCTATTAAAATGAACCATAAAATAAAAGCCTCTTTAATTAAAAAAAAGTGAAAAACAAATTTATGGAAATTCACAAACATCAGAAGGTTTTTTGTGACCCTGTAGTGTCCCTATGTCCTAGACTATAAGAAAACATGCCTGATAGCTGGATTTAGTTTAACATTTTGTAGGTCACAAGCGGTTACTCTGCCACTGAAAAGGACTCTTTTTCCAAAACCATTCTTCTGACATTTAAAAATGCTTGCTGCTGTGTTCAGTATTGTTCAAGTAGAGTTGGTATAGCATATATGAAGAAAAAATTCCAACAAAGAAAGGACTACTGGCTTGTTTTCAGCTTTCCATTCCAAAGACTTCTCCCATTCCTTCTTATCTATTCCAGTGCAAACATAAATGTATTTCCTTTGGCAATTAATTGTGTAATCACCTACTAAAATTTGAAGTTTTAGTTTGCTCATTTAGTGTATTTTTTCCTTAGTCCTAGTCCTGTGCATAGATGAGTTTTTCTATTAACTTCTCCCTCTACATCCAGAGCAGAGCAAAGGACCTGCTCTGGAGCTCATGTTAGGAAAGTTTGCCTGTTTGTCCTGAGTAAGGCAGCAGGATTGAACCCCACATGGGGCTCCCCTCTTCTAGCAGGCTGGCTTTACTCTTCCCCCTCCCTGGGTGGCTGTTCCTGCCAGCCACACTGAGCACCTGTAGCTGTCCTGTGCCTGAGACTTCTCCAAACAGCACCACCACTGCCCAGCAGGCACACGAGGAGACTGAGATGGGAATAAAGTGCTACCAGGTAAGGCTGTTCTACCAGGTGAGCTAAGTTATGAGTCACCACCTAATAGACTTTGGCCCTTGCTGTTTCTGCTTCTTCCTCTTCACACATACATAGCACTGCAGGACATACCAGCTTTTTCTGTTCCTTTTATGGATCTAAAATTAAAGAGCATCTTAAAAAAAATTCCAAGAGAACAATTTGGTTTAGGATTAAAATTAGAAATAATATTTTGAATTGCATTATCAACCATTACACTTAATCAGCATCCTATTCTTTTTATATTTTAAGCTGTATAAGAAAATAAAATCTAATAATATTAAAATATCAAGCATGCCAATGGATTTTCATAACCATACTTACAGAAAAAACAGCAGCCAGAGTCTCAACAGCACCAGTACTTAGTGTAACATAAGGGATTGTTTCACGATTGATCCCAGACTCACTAAAGATGTTGTTTGTGTAGTACCAGATCTGTATCAGAGAGAATAAAATGAGTTATTAATCATTATAGGTTGAACTACAATATATTGGTATTCAGCCCAACCATCCAGTCTGCTTGAGGTGAGACTTGTTAAAACTCTGAGCACTCCCAAGTCACCGAGGGCCAAACAGGACAACAGATGTAGGGAGAGTGCAAATTCCAGGTGGATTAGGTACAATGCTGCTGTAGTTCCACTTGCAGACCCAGACAGAATTACAAACAGCTTCAACTCAATTTAACTTCATTCACTTTAGGAGTAAATCAAAGAAACTCACTTTAAGCTTGAACAACAAGATACAAATGGGTTTTGTGTCGCTTACAAAGCAGGTTGGTGTAGCTTTATGGAATACTTCAATAGCATGCAACCACAGAGGAAAGAATAGGAAAGAGATGTTGTGAGGCAACAAGAAGAAGATGCTCATTTTTGGACAGAAGGAGTGAGGTGTTTCTTCTGCTGTAACATTACTGGAGTCAAGCCATCCCCCCAATCTCTCTTTATTATTCACAGGAAGAAAAGAAACTTTTAAGATTAGAGGTGCTTGGGGAAAAGTAATATGCTGTTTCAATCATAGGCTTGAAGTAGCTAAAGCACAGCAATACAGGTTGTATGACTTAGAGAAAGTCAATCATGTTTAGTCAGTAAAACCATATCCAGCAGTGACAATATCCAGGCAGAGAATATATATAGTGGCAATATTCTAAACAAGCAAATCTGGTAAGCATCAGGGTCTCATTCACATCAACTTCCCACTTTGGGAACGACTCCCTTAGAGCAGTATGTCATACAGTGTATTCCTTGAAATGAAAAGTATAACCTTCAGCAGTGAAACTTCACCGTAGTTTTGTGACTTCTTTAGAACTGAGATAAAATGGTGGAGGATAAGTAAGTTTATTATGGCTCATATGTATCAGGTAAATGTTAACAGAGTAAAAGAGACTAATAAGAAATAATTTATTTATGTCAGTTTAGGTCAGGCTGTCTGGTATTTTGTTATAATTGAAAACATTAACATGATCGGAGCTTCACCATGATTTCTGTTCCATGTGGAAATAAACAAATGTACAGTTTTAAGCAAAACAAATTTTTATCTTAAGTAAATCCTTAAAAATAAGCAAGTTTTCTCATGTGCTAGCAGGACAATTACAGAAATCTGCCAGTTGGTAATTTCCCTGGAGAATGACCTGAGATTCTTGCCTGAAGGAATCCCAACTTTCCCATATGCCCTGTGCAGATGGTAGCTGTGGAAAAGACCAGACTGACTAACAGGGCACTACAGACAAAGCAAATGAGTTAGAAGGAGCCATCCCTGCCAGGAAAACCTGGCTGGTGCTGGCTCACACCCAGCAGGCTGGCTCAGATGCACTCAGACAAAACAAGATCCAGGTTCACCAGTACTGGACTGGACCTGTCCTCTCATCTTGGAACTTTGGGTGACTTGAGCAGCATCAGTCAGGAAAGCAAAGCAAAAGAGACAAGTTTTTGAAGTCTGGTCTCTTAATCAAGTGGTCCAGCTATTTCTCTGAACCTCTCTCTTAATTTTCTTTGTTTTACTACTAACTGTTACTAACAACTGTTTAAATAATCCATTTCATAACACAATTTTTGTGTGAATATTTTTTTTTCTTGTTTGGTGACATTGCACGAGAGGAGAAACAGAGTAATAATTAAAAAGGAAGGCTTGAAATAGCCAACTCAACACACAGGTTTCCTGACAAAGACAGTTTTTCTGAGGCATATTTTCAGAAAGTGGCCATCCAATGGCACTTTTAAGTTACTCTGGCATCCATTTTGGACTGCACATGCCTGACTATCTATCCACACTCTCACTGAAGCCATGAGAGTGTGGCTTTGTTCTGCCACAGAATACTGAACAATTTCCGTCAGCTATTAAGTATCCTCAAAGTCACAAAACTCTTCCATTTTCCCTGAAAATTTAGCTGTGATCTTATAGGCAATGCAACGTGCTCCGTTATTTGAACAGTCTGTTTATTACTATAAGTGTCATTTTTTTTCCCTTATGTGTTGATAAATCTTAAAAAGACTGGATGACAAGATAATTTTGGGGGTTTTTTTCTCAAAAATTTATCCACAATGAGGAATAAAATAACCTGCCATTAGCACTGAAATCCTACCATTAGAAGAAAACACCACCTATAAAAACATTATTGTAGTTTAATCCACAGGATGAAAAACTTTTAATTCCTTCCCTGTATTTTGCAAAAAGCTTTTAGATACCAGAGTTCCAATTGCATTAATCTTTGAAATGGTCTTAGACAAATCACTTTTATTTGGAGTCTTAAAGCTATAGACATACCTGAGATAAGCCTGAGCTAATGTTCACAGATACAAAAGCACATATATTTATTAGCCCTGGGGGGAAAATCTAGCTGGAGTGTGCTGCAGAGCTCAGCAAGAGTTCCTTGCAGCAGTGAGAATATTGCTTTTCATATATATAATCAAGTAAAGCCTTTGAACTATGACAAAAAAACCCTCTCATTTTGAGGTGCTTCATGAGAATATTTGTTTTGTGCAGCATAAAGCATCTAAGCCAGATGCCACAAGCTGCAGCAAGGACAGTTCTGGCTGGATATAAAGAAAACACTTTTCACAGTGTAAGTGGTGTAAACACCTGGCAGAGGTTGCCCAGGAGGGTTATGGACTCTTCACCCTTCACAAATGCACAAGGCCCTTGGTAGCCTGGGACAGCCCTGAAGCAAGGGCTTGGATCAGGTGGAGGGATCTTCCAACCTAAACTGTCCTGTGACCTTCTCATACAGGCTCAGACAGGTAGTGAAAGAGACTTCTGATATCCATTAGTCTCAGACGTATTAATGGTCAATAGGATTCACTCTTTTATGTATTTTCCCTCTTTTGCTTCACTTTCCAAGACAGGAATATTGAAACAACAAAAAAATCAAACATGCAGTGCAACCTTTTAAAATCATTTATAGAAAGTTTTGATGACTTGTGTAAGTACTGAACCAAATGAATCCAACCTGAAATGTCTACTGAAAAAACTCTGAATAAGCATGGGGTGTATTCAGAAACAGAGAACCTGAGTACCAGAAGTGAAAGCTGCATGCTTTTCTTTTGCTGATTTTCTTTTCTACCTTTTCAAGCATTCCTTCAAAGTTAACAAACACACAAAGTTAACACAAAGTTAAGAAACATGGCTTTCCTCAAACTTCTCTTGTTTTAAAAGCCCCCAGGCAATACAGATCTCTGTGGATCTTCCCACTCATTGCTCTCCCAGAGTCATTGCTAATAAGAAACAGCCAAAAAAGGGAATTCATATTGGTCGGTAAATAGTGTAACCCAAACCTTGTGATAAAGGAAAGGAGTTCCCCAGGAGGTGCCATGGCCTGGGGAAGGACACTTACAGCATTTAGCCCACAGAGCTGGTAGCAGCCCATGGTGACGACCACGGTCAGGATCTGCCATCGCACCGCGCGCGTTCTCAGCAGCTGAACCACCGACACCAGCTTGGTGTTCCTCTGGGCCCGAGACTCTGCCAAAACTTCTTCTATCTCGTGAGACACATCATCTTTCCCAAGGAATTTCTGAAATGCTACAAAGAGAGGACATGTACTTTAGGCCAGACTCTTGGCACTGTGTTCATTTATAACTGTGTTGCATCTTTAAAATGGAAACGTTTGGCACAGACAGGAGGCATACATGGGCTACAACTTAATTATTCTTCTGCCAACAACACCATTCTGCTCTGGATGTGATTTGGTTCATCCCTGCTATTGGGCTCAAAAACTGAAACAAAACCATAAATTGTCACCCTACAAGATCTCTCTTATGTTATTTCATATATAATACAGCCTAAGGTCCAGTGAAGAGTAAAAACCCTGTGTGACTCGAAAATATTTATTACCAAAGCATCTCTGAACATTATTTGACTTGGCTACTTTTACAGCCTAACAGTATAGCTGGCTTCATTGCAGGAGATAGATTGGATAGAGAAGTAGGAAGATGTAAAAATGCATATAAGTCTGGGAAACCAAGAAAAGGCAGACATTGGATAGCTAAACAATAGCTACTACTTTTCATATTACCTCTTATTTTTACTAGCATATAGGCAAGAATTCACTTTGTCAAGGTAATTAATACTTAATAATTATTAGAAATAATTACCCAGAGCAGTTCCAGACTTTATACTTGTCAAGGGAAATGGGAGTCATGGGAACAAATTTACATGGCCAATGTAAGCAACCAAGCAGCCTCATCTCCCCAGAAACACACCATTTAGTACTGCACACTGATAGCTTCCTGAAATATCCTCCCACTGTGGATAATACAGGCTTTCCACCTCACACCTCCTCCAAGACAGAGATACCCCCAGCTGGATGTGATGTGTCTCCACCAACCTTGTTTGACAGATATTGTCTATGCAAGTGATACTTTTGTCTCAATCTAATGAACATACCCCAGGGGTTGGCATTTTAAAAGATGTTCAAAATGCTCATCATCTCAGAGTCACTGCAGAAAAACAATGACATTACAAACACCCCTGCAACAAGGCTTTGTGACCCAGTAGGATGCTAACACTCAAAACAATCTTTTACACAGCAGGTCACTTAAATTTGTAATTTTTATTAAATGAATAAGCTAATTTAGTTCACCTAAGAGTAAAATAAATTTTTCTTACCCACAGCTCTGCATAACACTGCCTATAAACAAATGACCACATATTTCAGTATGTTTACACACTTTGGATTATAAAAAGCACTCTGATGGTCAAGAAAACTAGAGATATTGACATCCAGACTTTATTTAAATTTTGAAGTTACAAAATTTTATCTTTTCAATTGTTACCCAGGCCAATTAGTGGCATTTCATTGTTTTGAGGGATAGGTCACACAAATGAAGGCACTCTGATGGTCAAGAAAACTAGAGATACTGACATCCAGACTTTTAGTGGCATTTCATTGTTGTGAGGGATAGGTCACACAAATGAACTGGTGGCCTCCCAGAGCCTCCCTCTCTGATACTTTGGTGAATGCACAAGGCTGCACATGCTGCCTGCTCCTGGTCTGGCAGTGGAGGGAACTAACAAGCTCTGGGCCAAGCCTTTCTGAGGCACTTAGCACTTCTAATGCATTTTAATGGGCCTCACCTGATTCTGCCTAACAAGGAGGATGATTTTTTTAAGGGATGAACCACCTCTGGGTGTTGAGTTAAGTCGTAACATTCGTATATTCTGATAACCAGTTTCTCTCTTGTGAGAGAAGAGGTCAGAATTTTTAAACCTCTCAGTAAAAGCACGTTCACTTATCTTTTCACACAGACTGTACAACCAGAAATGTATTAACAAATTGGGACCTCAGAACTAAAATTTTAAGCTGCTCAGTTTTGTCCTTCGTTATTGCCCATTTTTAAATAAATAACATGCTAAACACTAATTTTAACAGGTGTGATGTATTTAAAGACAGTGATGAGAAATGTAAAATTAGAACAATGTGTGCCTACAGCATGTTTAAGTCAATGTCTCATGCTGAAATTACACTTTCCTCAGTACTATTAGAATGTACATCAAGAAAAATTCAGGTAAAGATGAGAACAACCGGACATATATCACCATAGGCTTCCATGAAAGTATTCTCTCTGATTTTATGCATCTGGTTTATCAGTCTAAATTAGGTCAGTGCATAATTTTATTTATTTTTCCTGTCCTTAAAATCCTCAGCATTACTTTAGGTCACACAAGTCAAAAATATAGGTGCAATCAAGTAAAAAGATAGCAATCTGTCTTTTTTTGCACAAGGGAGTTTGCTGTATTTGTAGAGGGACAAGGAACTAAAAAACTGCAATCACTAAAATGGTCAAGTACAAGGCAAGAAAAACAAAAAACCATAGACACCAGATTTATTTTCTTTCCTTCATGGCATTAAGCAAAAAGATGTAAATGCACTAGGCAATGGTGATGGATGCTTAAAATTACCAACAAGTCAAGAAATACTAAGAAATTACTATGCTATCCATGCATAGTTTTGAATAGACATCACCTTCTTGGAGACACATTTTTTTGCTACTCAACATCTTTAATTTTCTTCTATTATCAGCTTCTCAGTACCATAAGAATCACAATTTTATATATAAAAAAATGTGGAAATAAATTCTGCATGAGCAGGGAGATAGGAAAACTCAAAAGCCTTTCAGAGTGTGATGTTCAATTTATTAGTTTTGCATTCCAAACCCTGGCATCACTGGCACTGAGAAGCACAGAAGTCGTTCCTCTCCTCCCTGCAATGACTCATTTCCCTCCGTGACTGGCTGCCTCTCCCTATAGGGAAGCTTTATTTTCATGTAACACTTAAAATGTCTAAGGAGTTGCAGTTCTAGAAACTTTTAAAACTTTCCAGATTCCTATTTAATTCCCATGGATCAGAAGGTTTTAGAAGCTCAGCCTCCAAAAGCTGGAATACTGCCTTCATAAACAGGAAAAGAGCTGGATGGTTCCAGCCAAGGGGAAATAAGTCAAGAAACCCTTTCATTTATTCCACCAGTTTTTATCCATCTCACCTAAGTGAAGGTGAAGCACCTGAAAGAGGTTCAAAGATCTGAAAAAAGTCAGTTGGTACCATCCCTAAAACCAACCAGGCCTTTAAATTAACTGAAATGAGCACTCAACACCTCAGCAACACAGGGAATTACTAATTCTTTTTCCACTATAGTACTTCCAGGACTGTGCAAAGAAAGCAGTTGTTATCAACAGAATTAGCATATCTTTGAGAAGAAATTTTAAAATATCAAAATGCTATTGAGTGGTTTACAGTATAAAGTCAGCACCAGGCAAAGGGGAGCAGAAAAAGAGAGGTGGTCAAAGTTTGTTTGGGCTTATTCTTTGAAAAGAAATGGACAAAAATTAAAATAAGCTGTGGGAGTATTATTATCTGTTTCCCAAGGACACATTCTGATGATCACATCCCTGATGATTAATTATATTAAATCATGTGTCACACTGTCTCACATATCTTTATCTAAGCTCTGCTTAAACAGCATCTTCTTTGGCCACTGTTGTAGATAGAAATTTCCTGGTAATGACTCCATGTAAACACAGAAATAATTCACAAAATGAACCAACAGTTATTTCATATAAACTAATTTTAATAGAATACTGAATATCCATAAGAATAACATCATGTGTCACACTGTCTCACATATCTTTATCTAAGCTCTGCTTAAACAGCATCTTCTTTGGCCACTGTTGAAGATAGTACAAATTTACCAGTAATAACTTCATGTAAGCACAGAAATAATTCACAAAATGAACTAACAGTTATTTCATATAAACTAATTTTAATAGAGTACTGAATATCCATAAGAATTGGATGAGGTATATCTTCCTAGGAGAGATATAAGTATAATAATGCTATTTAAATCTACTAAAATATAGTTAATCTACCAGTATGCAGCGTAGAAAAATTTAAGAAAAAAATCTCAGACAATATGACCGCTGGTAAATTACTTTAGGTTTTTCCCACATGTCACCTTCCTCTTCTTCTAAGTAAAGAACACAGATCTTTTTTGAGTTATTATTTGAGTTGTATTCCTCATCCACTTAAGGATTACATCTTTACCTGTTTCCATGTGTAGTTTTACACACATCAATAAGCCTGTTCAGGTTCACCTGAAACTAGCCCATATGTACAGGTAAAACAAAACATATGCACTCCACCCTAAAATAACACAAGAACTCATAAACAGAGTTATATTAAAGGTCCAATGACCTAATATCCTTTCTAAAAGATAGGAGGCTTAAGAAAATTTTTAAAACAAGTTATTCACACCACAATCACTCCACCTTTTGGCAGGGAAATATCTGAGATGAAGCCTTCACAAAAACCCAGCAAGTGTAGTAGTCATGGCTGTATCTTCCTTTCCCATAAGAATAGTTTATAATCCTTGCAGATATACAAACCCACAGAGAAAAAAAAATAAATCATATATGTGCTTGTTGTCAGTCATAACAACTTATTTTAATCGCTGGATTTGCAGTAAGAGCTTCCTGCTGTTAAACTTTGGGTTTAATACCTCTCCAGTCCATGCGGGCCCCCTGAAGGGCTTTGTAAAAAATTGGCTGCCTGTTTTTTTAAATCAGGAGTGGCCTTGCTCTTTTGTCACATGAAAAGGTATCAACCCTAATCCATCCTTCTAAAAATTTAAATCTATGCTTCTCATTATACCTATTTTAATGCTTCTTTCATAACCATGGGACTTCTAATGTATGACTGAACATACTAGATGAACAGATTTTGTATGTCACCAACAGATGTTGCTGTGACATTTTATCCAAGTTGTTTGACCCTTAAGACATAACAATATTCTTTTCTCTGGCAAGCTGGGATACCAGCTGAATTCCATTATTGATTTACATGACCTGCTACTGTAGCTGCATAAAAAAATGCAGGATTCCTCCCAGTGCACTTCAAAAAAGACATCTCAAATCTCCAACTGCAAGTGTTAATAACCCATGTTGTCAGTCATAACAAATGTTCAATTTTATCACTACTACTGATTTTATTTATTTTACATCATTGTGATACTCACAGATCAGGGGTGCATGCACTTGGCATGCAACTAATAGACAGCCAGTGTGAAATCCCTGTCTTAACTGTCCTGGAACTTGGATGGTAAACTGATGTAATTATAGCAGCAGGTTTTTCTTTTTCTCCTTGTTTCTATCCCTGTCACTTTTCATTTCCATAATCTCCTTCTAAAGTCCTTCTCTTCAACCACTTGAATACCCATTTCTCCTTTGCTTTCTGGCCTTGATTAAGAAGAAGGATCACACCAGTTAAATGCTAGGCAATTTCTTCCCTTCTATTCTTATAAAATGAGAAGAATATTAGTTATGGGAGCTGGGAGAGGAGCTGGGGTGGTTCTGCCCTTGCTTCATTAGCAGACTTAGTGTCTTGGGCAAAGCAGGTTTACAGATTATGCTGTTGTTCCAGGGGACTGCTCTCTCCCCAGAACACATGGATCAGTTCTCCCACATTCTGCAGTGAGATAAGAATATGAGAGATAGTTCAGATCTTTTGGATCTCAGGGAGTAGGGTAAAAGCTGTTGACATCCAGGAAGATGAGTCAAGCTCATCTCAGTGCTGCTTTTGGCAGCAGACAGCAGCAAGTCAGACAGGGTGTCCGTGTGTCCGATCAGCCAGACGTCGGCTCAGCCGCTCACAGCCTGCTCTGCCTGCACGGCTGGAAAGGGGAAAGCAGAGCACTGGGTAAAACCCCTTCTGGGGCTCAGGAGACCTCACTCATCTGAGGCATCGCTGCCCCTGTGCCCCAAAGAGCAGATTCTCTCATGTGGTGTGCCTTAGGCTTGCACATGATGCCTCTCTAACCCTCTACCCTCATTCCTTCATTTTTTCATTTGGTCCTTCCCCTTCTCTCGGTCTCTTATTTGCCCCTTAAAGACATCTGCTGGAAAAGAGGTTGTCACCACTTCTATTTTGGTAGTTAAAGACTGGTTGTCTCCTGAGACAGAGAAGAAAAGGAAGGGATGAAAGCAGGGCCAAAACCTTGTGGAAACTCAATGACCTAAATTATCTCACTTAGTATTTTTTCTCTATAACAATTAGGAAGATTAATGTTGCCATCTCCATTTTAGGAGCTCTGACATACATGCATACTTTAGAGAATTTCATAAAGTCTAACAGTCATCTGCTTTAAATACAGCAGACCTTTTGCAAATAATAGTTTTATATTTCCCTGACAATGTATAATCCACAGTGAAATATATATTTGCATGAATAGCCTTGATCCATTAAGGGAACGAAAAGGGATTTAGTCAGTAGAAAGAGTTGCAAATTTCCAATATTAATATTCAGATTTAAGCTAAGAGTCAAATAATTTAAAAGCATTACTGTAGTCATCATTAAAATGAAGAATTCTGCTTTATCATTATATGACTTACAAGCAGAAGGGCATTTTAACAAATCACAACTCCTCCAGTCTCCTTAATACTTAGACTTTTCCTCCCCCATTTCTGCTGATAATGTGGATATCCAGATGATTTGTCTCGATTGTTGATTCATTCTCCTATTTTTTGAATTCCACTGTAGAATACACTCAAAATGTGCTACACCATTAATTAGCTCAAAATGAGCTACAACATAGCTCAGAATTGAGTTTTTTCTTTTAGAATTAATAAAATCCAAAAACATATATTCATATACAGTTACTTTGAAAAGCTTTTTATATCAGTTGTCTCTTTTTTCTCTATCTAAATTTATAGTCCTTAGGGTAGTTCATGAAAGCCATCTTCTTGTAATCAGCAAACCAGTGGCTAAAACTCATTTCCCCAGGAAACTCCTCTCCTGATGCCTTCTTCTCCAGAACCCACCTCCAATGCCTCTGGATTAGATTTCAAATTATTTTCAGAACATGGATGCTGAAACATCCCAGAGTGCAGCTGGCACATTACCAGCAACAGTAAATGGTGTGAATTTCAAGGCAGATGGTGTTATTCTACTGCCATGTTTTCTAATTTTTAAACTCTGCCTATGAGAGGTCCAGTTTCACTGTCAGTGCTGAGGTCTCCAGGTACTATAGCAGGATTTTTAACAGCTCTTCATAGCAAGTGTAATATTATGCTACAGCATTGCAGATGTAGAGCCTTTGCCAGCCATAGCTCTGGAAATAGATCCACAGTTTTATCAGGCAGAAACGAGCCAGTTTAAACTTGGCACCCAGAAGCATTTCTTCCCTGCCCAGCCATGGTGCTGCAGAAGTTTCCACCCAAGAGCCAACCCGAGCTGGGTCCTGCACCCACAGCTGGCAGGGCAGCCCTTTCCTTGGAAAAGCTGCTCTCTGCCTCCTCAAAACTCTGCTGACTCTGTGAAGCTCAAGAACACTTTCCAAAATCTCATTACTTTTGTGCTCCTTTTTTTTTAAGCATTGAACTCTATCTCTGAGTGTCTGAGCCTCCAGCCTTTATAGAATTCTTCATTCAAAACCAAATTGAGACAACATGGGAGTCTCCTCATTAGTGTGCTATTTCTTTTTCAGAGGGCTCTTCAGAACAAAAAAAGGCCAATTTTTAGTTTCAAAATAGAATAAAGTGGATAGAGTTGCATTAATTTCATGCTAAAAGATTATTAAATTTATATTTCAGGTGTTGATACACACTTTACAAGTAATTTTGCAAGCAACTAGTTCATGGCTGAAAATGTTAATGGTCATATTCAAACAAAGTTTTTAAGAATAGTTTGTAAAGCACTTATGTTTGGTATTTTGGCATTATAATCAGACTCTTTTTTTATAGACTCCTGTTTTTCATATGTGGTTATAAGTTAACCAAATCTTTTAACACTCTCACACCTGTATTTGGACCATAGTAAATTTACTGGAGTGGAGAATGCAACAACTGTGATCAAAAAGCAAATAGTTTTATACCTGAAACCTGAAGCAAGGACAAAATATTCTGTGTCTGTGAAGCTGATGCAATATGGAAGAACTGGAATTTTTCAGTTAAACAGATGTATGGGGTTTTTATTAGATCAACAAAGGTTATTGAGTTACAGAACACAGGGTAAAACACAGCGACTACTGGGGGAAAAAAGCAGCAATAGAATCTGTGTTTTTATTAGACAAAGTGCAAAGACTGTAGATAAGGGAGAGTCACAATGACTGAAACCACCTTTTACTTTCAAATGAACCCTGCACAGAGTGGTTGGCCCACAACAGCAGGATGATTTGGTTAGTTCTGTATCACCATGTGTAATGTTATATAAGTTACCTTGCTGGAAAATTTAATTTATAAAAACGTCAAAGCTACAGCTATATTTACTCATACAAATGAAAAAAGAAGAGAAGACAAATGAAAAAAGTGAGAAAAATGATTGCCAAGAGATCCTCTGCTATGAGAATATTCTGCTTCTCGTGTGGTATCAGAATCAGGAGTCTCCAGCCTGAATCCCTACAATAAACACCCTTTATTGCAGAAAGGAACATATCATACCTTTTTCTGCCATGCTCCTGTTATGCTTTTCGAGTAGGAGGTACCGAGGGCTTTCAGGAAGAAAAGGCAGAATCACGACCTGTATCAATGATGGAACAATGATTGCTCCAAACAAGAAAGGCCACCGAGATTCCTGCAAATGGATGCAAACATGAGTCAGTGATACTCTCCCATAGTGACACTTGGAAGAAAAATAGCTTTGATAGGGAACACTATAAAAAATTACAGTGTCATCATTCAAAGTGTTGTGTCCTCCACCAGAGTGACATGTTCCTCTTAAGCTTAGTAAGTGGTTTGAACACCTCCCTCTCAGATCACCTTAGTCAAGGGCCAAGCCCCCAAACTACTTTTTGTTGTCAGTTTTGATTTTACATTCTTCCACTTCAGCAAGGCCTAAAGCACCCTGTTCTATGTGGTATGGGAATTATTCCATGCCTCAAACATGAAATGGGGCCCAAGATAACCAAATAACTCCCAGAAGTAATGGGTGGGGTATCTCTTAATCAAGCTTTTCATTTCCCCTTTTAGGTGAGAGAGGTGTTTTTAAAAAATGCTCCTGGGATAGGAAAACAACTTCAGAAAGTGTTTTTTCAAACAATTTAAAGCTTGAGGTAATCAGTCACACTAAGAGCCTGCATTACCATGAAGGCATCAAGACCCTATTTCTTCATTCCTTTTTTCTCTTTTATTTCCACTTGAGTGGAAAACTTTCTATAATGTAGATGAACAAAAAGTGGTTAACACTGTTTATGGATAAACAAGCCTGGATCTTATTTTAAAAGCTAGAAAACTAAGGTTAAGTCTTTAAAACAAGTCAATAATCAAAGTATCAAAGTGGGTACTGGTTTATGAAGAATAACTTAGGAAAACAGGCAGTATAACTTGTCACCTTCATTCCATATCTGCCTGGAATAGTTTCCTGCAATATAAACCTCTTTGCTATGTACCATATTGAAACAATTATAGGGTGTTATAATTTTTGACAGTACCTCCAGATAAAAATGTTACTCTTTATCAGCCCATCATATTTTCTGAAGGTTTTTCCCACCATGTCAAGGATACTTCTTAAAAGGAAAAAAAGGAATTTTTGTATGCTATTATCAGCATTCTGCTCACCTATGGAGACTTCTGTGGAATAAACTTACAATCCTTTTAAAGTCTCCTATATTATATGGTTTATAAGTTGCTCACATTTATCTCAAATAACTCTTCTTGAAAGCATTATTTTGAAACAGCTCTGAACTTACCCTTCACAATAAATAGCAAACCCTGCTACTGTAACGAAAAGCCCTTTATTTTTGCCACATAACACCCTGAATTTCCTTTATTTCCTCTATTTAAGATTTCTGTTTTAATTTTTAACGTTAGCTTCTAAAACCTTAAGGTAAATTCATAAATACTCATAAATTCTCATAAATATTTTCCCATTTGCCATTTTGGCGTGAATTGATCAGAAAGTCACTGAAGCCAGTGGAAGCTTCTCCATCCATTTCAAAATATTTCACGTCTATTCAACATTATGGAGTGTGTGCTCTACTTGCTTTTTTCTTAATTTACATTATACAATCTTAACTCTTTCCTCCCAGTACAGAAAGGAAATAGTAGGTCTAAATAAGTCCAAAGGATTCATTAAAATTGCTGGAAATCAGGTTGAACTAGACCCTCTAAAGAGAACTAAGAGAAGCAGGCAAAAGGAGGGTTTTATAACCTCTTTAAGAAGGAATAGAATAGGACATGTACTGGGACAGTCTCAGAAGCAGTAATAAGCTAAAGGCAAAAGACAGTGTAGGTGACTGAGGAGACACTTAAAACACTTCACCTCAATTGTCAGCAGTAAGGAGAAGCACTCAGGCACTGCTGGGAGAAATGAAAACAACTACATCCCACTTTATTTCAGGGAAAACTTAAAAGAGCATGAAATGTTTTAATTACAGGGGACCTGATTTCATCACCCGCTCGGAATTGGTACAAATAACATGTCAAGATGGTAAAATTTTCATTTTAAACTGTCACATTATGGATATTTGCTTAGGCTGGAGCATGAAATACCTGGCTTTGATGTATTTACAAAAGACAGTTAAACAGTAGAGCAAGTTTGACAACCGCAGACTCATTCAAAGGTTGATGGAATAAAGTGCAAAGCTGCAGAGACAGAAGATTGGGTGGAAGGGAGGGAGATAAAATATGGCATGGATTTATCAGCTGCAAATCAAACAAGATTATGGTGCACTGAAACACAGTAAAGAAAATGTTGCCATGTCAGAAAATTATCATCTAAAATGCAGAAAATGGAACTTATTGTAACCATCAAAAAGTGGAAAAGAAAGTGGCATGGGGAAATGTCAACAGGCACTGCTGGCAGCTGAACTATTCCTACCAAGCTCAATAATCTGTTTAAGCACCAGCTACATTTAGTATTCTCAGCAATTAGGAAGATTTTGATAAAATGTGAAGACACTCTCAACACAGACCGAGTAAACAATATACACATACATTTTAAAGGGAGAACAGAATTGTTAATAAGGTCATGAAACAGAGGTGAGAAGAAGTGCTGTAGTGCCCTGGATATGGGCACCTATTTTTTCAAAGATTTAGTGTGGCCAATTAAATATGCCAGTATGAGATGGATAATGGGATCAAAAAGACTGAGTAAGGAAATAAGCACCTGTGACAGGCTTCACTCTCTCTGTTTCTTTCTAAATAATTTCATAGAAACAGAGAAACATAGAATGGTTTGGAAGGGACCTCTAAGATCATCCCATTCCAGTACTCTGCCATGGCCAGGGACCCCTTCTACTATCCCAGGTTCCTCAGAGACCCATCCAGCCTGGCCTTGAACACTTCCAGGGCTGGGGCATCCACAGCTTCTCTGTGCAGTCTGGTCCAGTGTCTCACCACTCTTATAGTGAAGGTTTTCTTCCTAACATCTGCGCTAAACCTCTCCTCTTTTAGTTTAATAAATAGATTTTAATTATTTATTTATCTATTTGTTTTAAAAGCATAATCTGGACATAGAACCCCCTCCCAGTCACAACTCAACCATGATTCCCTACTCAGGGTCCTCATTTGCTCTCTGCCCAGAGTTTGGGTTTCTGTGCTGTGGAAATCCCCACATCCCACTGAGCATCCTGACCCCAGCTGCTCCCAGGCAAGCTTCCCCCATCCTGTCTCCTGTCCATTTTGGAGCCACAGGGAAATGCCCATACCCCAGACACCTTCTCCTAGGCTCAGGCTGGACATGGGGTAGCACAGGGCACTCCCCAGCCCTGCTCTGTGTCCTTGTGCAACCACCATGCTGCCTCACAGAACTGTCAAGGGCTTGGCTACCTCTACTGCTTGAAATGTGCAGGAGAGGGTATTAAAATAAATACTCTTTTCTCCTTTTTAGCACTCAGTGCACAGGATAATCTGTGACCTCTCAGTGAGCAAGTCTATTAACCAGTCACTATTAAATAGTCAGCATATGAGTATTTATTCTGGAATTAATTCCTTGGGGATGGGGTTGTGATGAGTTTAGTAAGTGCTGAACAATTTTACTGCTTGAAACGTGCAGGAGACGGTATCAAAATAAATACTCTTTTCCTCTTTTTAGCACTCAGTGCACAGGATAATCTGTGATCTCTCAGTGAGCCTATCTATTAACCAGTCGCTATTAAATAGCCAGCATTTAAGTATTTATTCTGGAATTAATTCCTTGGGGATGGGGTTGTGATGAGTTTAGTACGTGCTGAACAATTTATAAACAGAAATTACCTTTTTGTATAACTTTTTTTTTAAATTACATATTTTACCCATTTTGTATGTGGGGCACAAAGAGACTAAAGCCTCTGGCATCCAATGTAAGATGAGTATTTATTCTGGAATTAATTCCTTGGGGATGGGGTTGTGATGAGTTTAGTAAGTGCTGAACAATTTATAAGCAGAAATGACCTTTTTGTATAACTTTTTTTTTATTTTTTTAATTACATATTTTACCCATTTTCTATGTGGGACACAAAGAGAAAAAAGCCTCTGGCATCCAATGTAAGACACTGAAAATATCCAGGAAATAGTGATTTGGTAGTCTCTTCTTTTTAATTTTCTACAAAAAGCAGGAAACTTTTAAAATTTTAGTTTTGCAAAATATAATCACACATACAGACAGAAATAATTACATCTAGTCTAATTTTTGGATGCCCTAAAGCATCTTGCCTCAGCCTCCTTCTGCAGCTACAGAAGGATGCAGGTCTCTGTGATATTCTGTGTCACATCTGCCAGTCTCACAGGGACACCTAAGGTACCACAGGGCATCAAGATTATACTATCTGCTTATATTCAAGCAACTAAATTTTGTCCTTTTTAGTACAGACTTGGCACAAAAAATGCATATCAGAAATATTCCATTTGCCCGGGAAAAAAAAAAAAAATTATCTCTGCTCAGAAGAGACTGGGTAAATTTACTTAGGCATGCAAAGCCCAGAATACTGCACACGTTCAGCATTTCTCTGTTAATCTGCTACCACACCACATAAAACACTCCTAAAAGGACAACCATGCTGGCCTGGGGCCAAGGACTGAAAAAGCACTGAGATGGAATTAATTTCTTTGCTTTGGAACTATCTTTTCTTCCTTTAGTCAAGGGTATGGCACAGTGGTGATGATCATGTGGCAGCTGAGAAAAGAGAATTTCTGCATCTCAGGCTTCAGAGCAGCTACTCAAGTAAGGTGCAAAACAACTGCCTTCCTCTCACCTTTGTACCACTCCAAACACTGCTCCACAATCTCCTCTGGCTGCAGGGGATGCTAATCTCACAGTTATGTCCCTGCTGGACACAATTTGCTCTTTGCAAGACCATTTCTGTAACCCAGTTTGTCAAAATGTATTTCAATAACAGAATTACAAATTGCTTACCTTCCTGTTTAAAAAAAAAAAAGAGAGAGATAGATGTGTATTTCACCTCTGTTCTGCACCCAGATGTGTATTTTTACTGGTCACTACTACAGCTATAACTCTGACAAGAAGATTTTTCAAGTAATTACTCAAGTATCTTCCCAGGTAATAATCAGTACAGAAAGTCACAGACTTAAGGCTGTACAAGTCTGATGTAAAATTCACAGAAATCAGCAGGAGATTTTTGCTACTGAGCAAATGGC